GGTATGAACCCAATACGGGGGAAAACCAAATCTTCAAAGAACCTCCCAGAGAAAAACCCAATTAACCCTGTCTTAGGCTTTGTTCATATCAAGCTTCAAGGCAGCTGAACAAACTTTAGAAGATGAATTAGACATATAATACAAAAGCTCATGGGCCAACAAACCATTATCCGCCATTAAACGACCCGGAACAAAAGCATTCTGAGTGTCAGAAATTAAGGCAGGTAAAATACGACGGAGCCGATTAGTAAGGCATTTAGCAATGCATTTATAAAGCACATTACATAAGCCTATCGGACGAAACTGAGAGGGAGTTTCAGGATGATCTACCTTTGGGAGAAGAATAAAAAAAGTACGATTCCATTCCTTTAGCAAATAGCCATGAACGAAGAAAAACTGGATTGCTTCAATAATCTAAGGACCAACAATCTCCCAATGAAGCTTGAAAAACGCCGATGTAAAACCATCAGGACCAAGAGATTTATCACTACCAATATGAAACATCGCTTCCTTAATTTCAGAAGCGGAAAAAGGACTCATGAGATACTAATAATCAAAATCAGAAATAGTAGGAATGTCTAACTCATCCCATTGACATGAAGCAGGAGCAGAAGAAGAGCCAGTTATAAAGCTGAGCAAAGTGTCTTTCCAACAGACAGGAAATCTGTGCCTGATCGGAAACCCATACATCATTTTCATCTTTCAAACTCATAATCTTGTTTCCAAAACATAAATTCCATCTGAGCGCGTGAAAGCTTTTCATCTCGAAGAACTAGAAGATCGGATCTATTTTTTGCATCTTGAAGATGGATAGATCCCGAAGCCACTGAGCTCTGCAAATCCTGCCAGTCAATACCCCATTTTTGTTGATTTGAAACACACCAACAAAGCATATGATGTTTCACCTCATCCAATTTTCTAGAAACTGAAAACATAAACAAACCAGACTGAGATCTATGCCACTCAGACCGAACGATCCTTGAAACTTATGTAAGACCTAAATACCAATTTTCAATCTTATATGGCCTTCTCCGGGTAGCAACAAATCCAACTTCACGTAAAATAATAGCAGCATGGTCAGAAAAAAGAATCGGTTGATGAATAATAGATGCTTCGGGATATAAATCCAACCATGACGATGTAGCATAACCCTTATCCGATCTTTCAAATGTAGGGTTATGGATTTGACCATTAGTCCAAGTAAATTGTGGTCCTGAAAATGGGATATCCATTAAGTTAGTCTGTAATTTCCACTCCATAAATTGGTGACGGCCAGGAATCTCAAAAGAACCTCCTATTTTATCACTAAAATACTCAACCTGATTAAAATCACCTAAAAGTACTGCATTTGGGACTTAATTTAGAATATTGGTGATTTTTTCCCAAACTAAATGCCTATCAGAAGTATGAGGCGAACCATACACAAACAGGATATATTTTATTGCTTGACCAGGAACTTCAACTTTACAAAAGATTACATGAGGGGAAATAGAAAGAGGCGTCACTACAAAAGGAGCAAACCAAAAAACTACCAAGCCACCACTAAGGCCTAAAGCATCACAACCACAAAAACCATCAAAACTAATCGAAGCTAACTTTTGAACAGCTACATTAACAGACATTAAAGTTTCCATAAGAAACATCATATCTACACCAAAAGAGCGGACCAAAGAAACCACATACGGAACCTTAGGGGAGTCCGCCGTACCAAGACCCCGACAGTTCCAAGCCATAACATTCATGGCTGCCTTGGTAGCTCAGACCGGGGAGCTACCCTACCCTTAGAATCAAACCAGTTGGGATCTGTTTCCGATGAGCTGTTGCTGCATTTACGCTTTTTGAAGGGTTTTAGAAATGAGAGACGAGCAGAGTTAGCATCCAAAAGAGAGGAATGCTGCTCTAGAGCTGCGGGAGTTGAAGACCTCCTCTTATAAGGACAAGCATATTTGACCCAATTCCAAACCTTATCCCCTTTTTTTGATAGTTTCAAAGTAAGTGGTTTTTTCCTTTGCCCAGTATCTTGAGCCAGTTGGGCAGATGAAACAGAAGATGGTGAACCCGAAGATGATTTAACCGATAACGGAGGTGAGAAATCCACCGGCACAGGTTCGTCAGAAGTAACTGATAAGTGACTTTTATGTCACTTTTAGGGGTGTTTATTGAATACTTTTCCGGCTTATTTCAATAATTAAGCTCAGTTTATCCTTTATTTCTCTTATTTGCTTATTCTCGTCTTTTATCTTTTTATTCGAGTATTTTGTAGTTTTTAGTTTAATTTTGTAATTTATTTATGTTTCTTATTCTCTTATGTCCTTATTCTAAATTCTTGTTAATATTTTTCTTCTCGTTTTCCTCTTATTTTTCTTTTATTTTCAAGTTTGTTTTCTATATTTTATTTTATTTATTTTCTTTTGATTTTATTTACTACCTCTGGTTCATTTTAGTTGCAACAATTTCCTTTTTGGGGTGGTTCACTTTACTTGCAACAAATTTTTTTTTTCCTTTTTTGGTAAGTTTTTGGGTGTAAATTTACATATTTGCCCTTACTTATTTACTAACCTATTATATTAACACTTCTAATTTGTTTTACTTAGTTTACTTATTTTATTAATTAATCTAACTACTCCCACCAAATTTACCCCCTCTTCTTTTAAATTGCTTCATCTCCCAACCACCTTCATTGAATCTGCATTCAATACTGGAAAATGGTTGGGAGAAATAAATTCTAGAAAAATTTTCCAGAAATGAAGCCCCCCCTCTCAAACCCTAAGTGTTTAAATTCCCTCTCTCTCTCGTCGTTTTTTATTTCTCTCTCCTCTTCGCCTTCTCTTTCTCCTCCAAAAGCGTACTTCTTCCTCCTTTCTCTTTCATCATCCTCTGTATTTTCACAACGATTCATCCCATTTCACTCTTCAAATGTCTTCCTCTCAACCAAAAATCATTGATCTCGACAGCCATGAGTCTCTATCTTCTGGATCTACTCGAACTCCAAAAAAATCTGAGTGAACCACGTACATACCTCGTCGTGGTTCTGGGGTGATGAAGCCGCTCCGTCGTGCTTTTGTAATTGCAAGGAGGAAGATTCACGGTGCGAAGCTTGCTGAATACATTTCAAGCGACGAGGATGACAAGCCCATTAAGGTTTCTGGGTCCAAAAGGGCGGTTCCGCCACCTCACAGCGTAAATCTGGAGGTAGTGTCCACCAAAGACGGTGGATCTGCTGCTGTGGTGGCTGTTCCAACTTCTTCACCACCACCAGACGCTAAATCGGAGACGGGGTCTTCGTTGTTCCAGGAGCTTACTGCCGGAGAAGTTCTCCAGCCACCCACTTCCCATCCCATGATGGGTGGGAGTGCTTCTAGGTCTAGCGCTGGTAGGAAGCGCTTGAGGGGCTCACTTCCTGGGGGCCAAGAGCCTGATGATGTACTGGAGGCTTACCTCCAGATCTACTACCCCCAATAGTCCCTTCCCCCATACTAATTGGGCAGCGTAATTTCTAAAACTCTAATCTTCTTTTGAAGTTCCAATTTATGCTATATTATGGTATTCATGAGTCCCCTGTTGGTTGTTATGCCTAGTCTGATATTGTTTGTTGGTTGGCTTTGATTTGATGTGTTTCCTTTTATTATTGAATATGTTGATGGTGAATCAGTTGTTGGTTGTTTGGTTTGGATTAAAATTGATGAGGCCCCTGTTTTTTTTTGGAATTGAGATGTTGGTAGGAGTATGAAATGCATATGTTGGTGGTGTATCAGTTGTTGGTTGTTTGGGTTTGAATTGTTATTTTATTAAGGTTTTATCTTTATCCAGTGATATGTTTGGATATCTTATTGTTGTATGAGTTGTTGGTTGTTTGGATATGAATTGTTGTTTTGGATTAAAATTGATGAGTCCCCTTATTTGTTTTTGGATTTGAGAAGTTGGTTTTGTGCTTCAGTAACTATGGTTGGAGTATGAAATGGGATGTGTATGATTTTGTTCCTTGAGTCCCCTATGTATGATGCATTGAGTCCCCTCTCCCAACTGATTTCATCAAATTGAATCCCATCCAAATGATGAAGGGACTCATCTAATAGCTATTTGAGTGACATGGCTGCTCTAGATACCTCTGATTGAGGTATCTATTGAGGTACCATAACTCATTGATGCCTTGAAAGAGAAATGTAACCCTATCTGATGGAATATTAGTGACCAAAATAGATTGAGTTTCCATTAATTACCCAACTATAGTACCATACAAGATTGCCTAACAATGTTTACATTAACTATGTACCAAAATACACCTAACCAATACCAACAAAAACTACAAAAAACATGTTCAGCTTTTACTGGTTAGATGTGGCAGTCTTTGGTTGTGTTGGTTTGAATGTGGTTCCTTATAGTCTTCAATCTGCATCCACTTCCATTTGAAATTCAGTTGCATTTGAACTTGGAATTGTGATTGAATCAAGATAGGAAACAACCTCTACAATTAATTCCTTGTCTACTTGAAGCAATTCTGGTAGAACACCTTGCCTGTCTAGACTTCTTTTTTTCATGTGTGGTATTGTGTAGTTGTTTCCTCCTTTTCTTCTTAACACCTCAACCATGCATGACTGAAGTGTAATCCAACTGTATTTGTTCAACTCTGGATCAAATACTTTGAATGCTATTTCTACTTCTTTGATGAGATCATCTAAAGTTTGAGGGAATGACTGATATTGCAGTGATTGAATGACATTGAAAAGTCCTAAGTCTAGAACATTCATGTCTGGTGATTGTGCTGGTTGAAAAACAAACTGTATGTTGAATCCATATGCTGGACATGCTTCTTGAAATTCTGCATCTTGTGGTATTTGGTGAGGCCTAGCATTATCCCATTGGATAGTTATGTTTTTGGGAAGTTGGGGTGGCCATTGTTCATGTATTGTTGGCAACACATGATTAAGTAGCATGTCCCTTATTGCTTCCTTGTTAATGCTCTGGACTGCCTTAGCCTCAATGGTTCCCTTGTCTCTGTTTTAACTCTTTTTCTTTGCTTCCTCATACTTCACAAAAGGGAAAAGACCATACTTCCCATCATGTAATAATTGTTTGTTTGCATCATACAATGGTTTCCCAATCATACCCATAAACATAGCCTTTATCTTGAACCTTTTGGACTGTTGGGCTCTGTATGGATTGTCTTCAGCTGGGAGGAGGTAGAATGTCCTTGTTTCTGGATTTATAAAAAACCACTTTTCATCAATGTGTATACATTGTTGCATGTCTTCAAATAAAGGGTCCCCTTCTGCTGGAATTGGGGTTATGTGACTTAGAACCCATTTCATTCTTGTTATTTTATGCTGGTCAGTGAGTGCTGGTTTGTTTGTGCTTGTGTGTGTTCTCAATCTACCCCTTTTCCTTAATCTGTGAATAGCTGACTTTGACACATTAAGTGCTGCAGCATATCCTCTTTCAGTTTGTCTTTTGTACAAAGGCACTGATGTTAAAAATTCATCAGTGTACTCCTTTTGTTTTCAGCCCACAGTGCCTATTTTTTTTTGTCCTTACATCTACAACATTTCCTTGTAACATGTGTTGTTTAATTACCTTAAACCATCTTGTTGTTGTTGATCTATGCACATGATGCTTTCTTGCCAAACTGGATAAAAATCCCCTTGGCAATGAGTCCCCCTCCATATTAAGCATGATCTCATCAACTAAATGGCGCTTTTCTTCTACTGTCATTTCTCTGCTTTGTCTGTCATACATATGTAGTGGACCATGTACTTCATCATCATCATCTCCATCATAACCACCTTCTTCTTCTGAGTTGTTGTTTTCATCTTGAGTCTCTTCATCTGTGAAATGATGTCATGCTTCCATTGTTTGCTCCTCATTGTACAGTTGATTTTCATTGAAAAAAGTTCTTCCAAGAACTCTGCCATGAGTCCCTATACTTTTTTTTTCAGGCTGACTGTAGGTGATGAAGTGGTGGCTGGATTTTTTTTGGAATGGTCTTCAACGGAGCCTAGAAGATTGGAACATAGATGCTGCTTTTGTCTTTTTAGCACTGTGAATTTTAGGCTAACTATGAACTAATTATAGGATTATGTAATTTGTAGGATGGTGTTTTGTAAACAATTAACTACTCACCCTTAACCCCCCCCCCCCCCAACCCCTCCCTGCTATCTCTTTTGCTTGATAAACAAAATGTTTGTGTTTTGGAACTTCCCCTTTTTATAAGGGGAAATGGTTTGAATTGTTAAAAAACAAGTGTTGGGGTATTTTGGCATACTTTTTGAATTACCCTTGAAAATTTGGGAGGAAAATGGGTGGGAAACAAAAAAAGGGATTCTCCCTCTTAAATTGGCTGGAAATTTGGGAGGGAATTCCCACCCATGTGAAAAGTCAGATTCATTTAGGGTGGGAAAACTCCACCTCACCAAAATTTCCCGCTTGTTTTACTTTATTAAATAAGGGGACCACAAGCTTTCCCTCCTTTTTAACTCCCTTAATTACTTACTAGTCACATGCATTAATCCCCTTAAAAGTTTTGCCTAGGTTTGCGTAAAGTTGTACTTTGTTGCAACTAAACTGAACCGGAGGTAGTAATTTCTTTTAGTTTTAATATTTTACTTTCCTTTATTTTATCTTTATTTTATTTTTATTTTGTTCTCGATCCTACCCTCGTGTTTGTTTTTGGTTGTAGGTGTTTTCGGATTCTTGGTCAACTTTCAAAGTCATATTCGAGTTCAAGGTCCGAGGTTCGAGGCACAAAACAATAACCACCAGCTCCACCACTGCTGCCCCTTCACTGCACAAAACAACAACCACCAGCTCCACCACTGCTGCCCCCTTCACCACACAAAACAGCAGCCACCCCTCACCTCAAAATACCAACATCACCCACAAACCACGCATTCCCAATCTCAGCCTCCACAGCAGCCACCCAAACCACCATCCACCAAAACCCGTATCAACCAACACCAACACCAACACCACCAATCCGCCAGCAATCAGCACCAATTCTCCCCTGATTTCCCTCTCCTCTTCTCATTGACCCACAACTCCAATCAACCACCACGCAACCCGCAGCTCACAAACCGCCAACAACAACCATTAGCCTCCGTATCCACCACCAATCCGCAACCAACAACCACTATCAGCCCGCCACAACCGCACCAGCGCCACAAAACCAGAGCAGCCACGCACCTGAACCAACATCAACCCCTGCACCACCGCAACAACCAATTCCCCTGCTCCCTCACTTCACGCAACAACAACAACCACCCAAATCACCCCAAACCACTCACCAATTAAGCCACGCAACTCACAGCAACCCAAACTCACAGAGCAGCCAATTTGCGGTCGCGCAACCTTGTCAAAAAGCGCACAAATTGGAGTCCAAAATCAGAGTTAAGGCAGTAGCTTTGCGCGACCTGAGCGCGACTTCTGTGCGGGCGGGAAAATGTGGGTCAATCACGAGCTTTTCACGTGATTTTAATGAAAATCGGACGGCCACGATTCCTTCAATTAATCCAAAGGCCGAGAATTTTGTGATGCTAGATGATGATAATGTTGATGAACGGTGATGATGTTGTTTTGATGATGGTTGATGATAGAATGAGAGCAACAAGTGAAGGGAGAAAGGGGGTCTGTTGGTTTTCGTGGGTTTGGACGGGTTTAGGGGGTTTTTGGGTTTCTTTTTCCTTTTCATTTTCTTTTATTTTATTTTATTGTAGTTTTGTTTTTTTTTTTTTAGTTATTTTAATTGTTTTATTTAGTTTTATTTCTTTTTAATTTCTTTTATTTTATTTTTATTTTTATTTAACTTGTATTATAAATACCCCTTTGGGGTTATTTTCTCATAAGTTTCAATCAACATTTTATTTTAGATAGATTAGATTAGTGTAGCCTATGTTTTCTCTCTCTTAGGGTTAGATTAGGATTTTCTCTCTCTAGTTTTAGGAGTAGTTGTAGAGAGAGAAAGCTTGGATTTCCATGGAGTTTTTGAGAGGTTGAAGAAGCAACTTTGTGGAACTTCTTCTCATCTATTCAATGAGCATTTTCTAAATTTCTCTCATCTTTATTTATTTGCTTAATTCTTAGTTTTTGATTTTTGTTTGTTGATTTGAGTAGATTAATTAGTTTGTTTGTTTAATCTTGTTTTTATTCTTATTTTACCTAGTTTTCCATGTCTTTCTTCATTATGTTAGCTTAGGTCTTGTTCTAGGGAATTGGATGAAGGTTATATTAATGAATTGAATGATTGATTGTGATTAGTATGAAATTGTTTCTTGATTATAGTATATGGGTGATGCTTTTATGGATTAGAATCTTTCTAGCTAATCGATTCTATGCTCTTAATTGTGCTTTCAATCAATTGTGCGAGAGTGAGTTGGTTGAGAGCCCTAAATTCTTCCATACCTTTGCTAGGTTAGTTGCGCGAGAGTGAATTAGTTTAGTAGGATAATTAACATGTTTAATTGTGCGAGAGTGAGTTAAATGTGTTGATGTTCCTAATAGAGGTCATTTTCATCTAATTCTATGATGTTGTTGAATGCATTGATGTAATTGGATTCCACTTTCCCTAGTTTTAGTTATTAGCTCTTAGTAGTATTTGGTTTAATCTCTCTATATCTCACAACCTTTCCTAATAGTCTAGTTGGCACAAATTTACACTTAGTCCTTTTGGGTTCGACCCTTTACTTGCCACTAACTAGCTTAGTGTAAGTTTAGGTATTATAAATGATTAATTCGGTTAGGGTGGTAGCTTCACGACCTATCTATCCACGATCAGTAACAGGGGAAGGTATTAGCAGAGGTTGCTCCTCCCTAATTGGATCAGAGCCTTGCGAATTATGGGAGAACGCAAAGCCATCATCAAATGAATCAACCATATAACCCGAGTCTTCAGCACTATGGGTCAGAAAAGAAGCCACAAGCGACAGCAAAGGAGAGTGCGAAGGAATGATTTCTGCATTCTGGTTGATCGGTGATGGAGCTGCCCAGTTGCTCGGGCCTGCCCCAAATGGATCCGGGAAACCCGGTCCTGAAGAAGTCCAAGGTGGCGGCGAGAAATAAGGGATTGCCGCTCCACCCCGAGAAGGGTGAACACCATGAGTAAAGCTTGCATACGGGTCACCAAGGGAGAAAGAAGGAGCAGCCCGAGTGAACGGGTCACATCCCAATCCTGCAGACATATTAAAAGTGTGGGCAATTAAATGAAAATTAGAAGATGGACCTTGTATTCTAAGAGAGTGTGGCCCAAAATTATTGCCCATTGAAGTAAGAAGCCCATCATGATTATTATGAAGTTGGGCCCCGCCCAAACCCAAAACCGTTGGAGAAATTCGATTAAGAGAACCAATTGGAGTATCCGAACCCGAATTATAAGATAAGGAGTGCTCTGGCACCGAGTTCATATCTACAGGTGTTTCATTCATAATTGACCCCCTTAGATGAGAATTGAAAATTTGATGAGGTAAAAGTGGATTATCACGTGCAATTAGATTAAAACGCACCGAACAAATGTGTTCTGCATGGTTAACAGGTGGAGGGCTATTATGCCAGGTGCCATGATAATCGGCGGTGCGAGAAAAGGTCATCGGACGGCTAGGACGTGGCAGCTGTGGTGGTTGTTGAGGTGGCGCCAGAGTTTTAAATTCCGCCCAGATCGCCCTATTGATTCCTAAATTGCGGCGCCAGACTTCATCAGCTTCACCACGAAAAACTCCCGGAGCACCAGACGGGAACGACCTGGTAAAGAACGCGGAGGCAAGGGAGGCAGAGACGGTGAATCCAGATTTCCCGGCCGATAAATATCGCCGTCCGAAGGATGCGAATCCCCGGAGTACTCCAAAGGGTCGTCTTCATCATGGTTACCAAACCAAAGCTCGATGGTCCAAATTTTAGGAGTGGGAGAAATACCACGAGTTGCATTAGAAAATAAAGGAACATCCGTTGAACCAAATAAAACATGTGCGCCGCCTTTGTGTAGCTTATGAAAGCGGCTTTCAAGGTGGAACGTCACTTCATCTTGTTCTTTATTACACGTACTCCGACCGTGTCCGAAAAATCCGCACTTTTTACAGGATTTAAATATTCCTTCATATTTAAAACGTACCCAAGTAGCGCGATTGTCATAGGTTGGAAAGTAGCAACCTGGAATTAATGGTAGAGACAAGTCAACCAACAATTTCACACGAGGCCTAGGAATAGGAAAACCATTTGGAAGCTCATCCTCCATAGTTATATCCCCAACATGAGTTAGGACTGAAGCAGCCACCATGGGAGTCGAGTAACGAATAGGCAGGCCCACCACAATAACCCACATATCTGCAAGATTTAAATTCATATTTTCAGGAACAGAGTAACCTCGTAGCCTTTGGATCGCCATTAGACTCCCTTTAAGGTGAACCCACCCACGAGCATCAAGATCTACTGCATCTTCTTCATTACCACAAAAGAAAATAAAATCCCCATCATAGGGGAATACAACAACCGATTAGCGAAGATGCCAGTATCTAGAAACTAGTCGCTGAACAAGTTCAACCGAAAACTCACGAGTATCCCAAAACCGACCTATGACACAGAAATCCCAGTTAAGATGACTAGTTTCATACACTGGAGGAGAAGGAAAGGCTCCAATTCGGTGAGGGTACACAAAGGTATTAGGGAAAATTTTGTCACTCATCTTGAAGTTAAACTTGAACTAACAAAATAAGAAGAAAGAAAAGGTTAGAGAAACTTAAGCGAACAGACAAACTTAGACTTAGGAAAATAGAGAGGATTTTCTCTCACTAAACTTTCTTTCTCTCACTAGGATATATTGATTTCTTATTTGATTCTTTTTCTTGCTTTGGTTGGTAATTGATATATACCCTTTGTCTGCTCAAGTTTTTATGAGTAATTTTATTCCAGAATATAGATTTAGATAATTCTTGTAGCTTATTGTAAACTTTAGGTGTATAAATGTTACTTCCTCGGTTCTTTTTTACTTGACATGTTTCTTTTATCACGCTTGCCAATGCAAAACTTTAACGATCAATAAGTATAATTCTCCATAAGTAAAAATTACAAAAGTTATATATTATGATAGTACTTATTGTGACGAATTCAAAAAGATCTCATATGAATATGTTTTTCCTTACTATTCACAAAAGACAATCAAAGGAGGGATGGTGAATAGTGTAAAAGTCAAAGCGGGTCAAGTAAAAAAGAACGGAGGAAGTAATAAATTATAAATAAATTGCAGTTATTTTACGAAAAAATGTGTTTGGTTCGAAATTAATTTTTTTTTCTTAAGGATTTGTTTTGGACCCGTTTTAGACCTGGATCTGTAGGACCCGACGGATTTGGATATGGATCCTCGATTCACATATCCGACGGATTCAAGTCGGATTTGGATCCAATGGACAAAAACGGATCTAGATCCAGATCCACTTGGACTCGGCCCAGATTCGACCCGTTGCCATCTCTACTTGCAAGTTGCATTTAGTTCCTAATACATAAAACATGAACACCTTAAACCATTCCCCCTAATACACCATTCCCACTATCATCACTTAATTAGAAACAACAAATATCAAAACAAAATACATAATTAGAGTAATCTTCACAATTAATTTGATAAATTTCACCAATTCATCAACCTTATCAACAACAGCAGCAGCACAAACACCTTGTTCAACCTCCTTTTCATCCCCAACCCTAATTACATCTCCTTCCTTCAACCAAGTAAAATAATCGCAATCCCTGCACTTGAAGAACAATTTTAGTGGGTTCTTTGTGGTCTCTGTTATCTTCACTGCAGCAAATTGGTGGGGGGGGGGGGGACACAGTTGCAATGCACATGCTTAACCCATCCTATCTTATCATCCATGGTGATAGGTTTTGCATATGAAGAAAAGTGTTGATTTTTCATGGTTGAAGGGTTGTTCTCAGACAATTTGCGAAAAT